AGCCCATGGCAATGCACTGCCACAGGGACTGCAGCCCACGCTGTCGCCGGCGACTCATGGCAGCCCAGCTCCAGGTCGAGCTGTTGTTCAGCATCCCAGCTGTGGAGGGCAGCGCCACCGGCCCTCACATGTGGGACCCGAACCGGGGCCCTCTGGCATCCCAAGCGAGCTCCTAACCATCGCGCCACTCGGCCGGCCCCGGGATCTCCCCATTTTTGAGGGACAGGGAATCTTCCAAGATCACAGCAGACAGTGAGCAGCACTCAGGCCTCCCATGGTGTCTACAGTCCCCAGCCGCCAGTGCTAATCCCTGGCCACTGCCAATCTTAACCCAAACCGGGAGATCTGGGCTCCTCTGCATGTCACAGCGTGGCTGGCCACCCCTGGGCTTCCTTGGGACGTTGTCTCAGACCCTTGTTTCTCTTTCTACCAATCCGTTTCTAGCCACAGATCAAGCTGGACTGAGCAGTGAATACTCCCAATCTCTGCTTCTGGAGCCCTCCAAGGTTAGTTTTCATTGCCCATCCTCCTCTGAAACCTGCAAGGCCCCTTTGGTCACACTCCACAATGAAAGCCTGGCCCTGGGAATTCTTGTGTTAAGTCCTTCTCAGACACAGGCCACAGGTGCACATATGTGCCCAATGAAAAAGAAGGGCAATACTTACCTGGCAGGGGAGATACCATGATCGTAAAGGTGGTTTTCCCAGGGTGAGGCTTATTCATTTCTCTCCGAATGTGCTGACCCCCGCGATGTCCCCAAATGTGGGAAACTCGACTGCATAATTTGTGATAGTGGGGGACTGCAGTCGTGCTCTTCCCTGGAAAAAAAAAAAAGAAAGAGGAAGGCAGAGCACAGCCACCCTTCACTGTCCCCACCAGCCCCCTGTTCTGAGCCAGGGGCCTCTCCCAGCCTACTCCTGCGTCTCCACAGAATTCTGCTGCTGTGAGAATTCCAGGCTTCATGGCTTCATGACAACACCAAATGAAACTAGAAGTTCCAGAATGCGGAGCCTTTTTGGCCTGTGTTAGAGAGGGCTGGCTGACACAGGGCCAGGGGCTCAGGCTGCATATAGGCTCAGGCTCAGGGCCTGCTGGCCACAGCTGGAGAGGGCCCAACACGCGTGTCAGCAGTGTCAGCATGGGCCTGGAGCTCTACCTGGACCTGCTGTCAGCATCCTGCCGTGCCGTCTACATTTTTGCCAAGAAGAACAGCATCCCCTTCGACTTCCAGTTTGTGGATCTGCTGAAAGGTCAGGCCCCACTGCTGCCCAGGCAGGCCTGGTCCCGGGAGTAGGCAGGACACAAGGTCAGAGTGTTTCTGAAAAGTGGAGGCAGAGACCAGGGAGACCGCCTTCCTCCAAGTCCACGGGGGAATAGAAGGTTCCTAAGGGAATCGTAGGCTGTGTGCCTGTCCAGGCTACTTGTGCCAGTCTCCACTAATGCTGCCCCGCTATGATGGACAGACTCTTACAGGGTAAAATGGGAGAGAGAACTGTGGAGGACCCCCAGACTGGGTCCCAGCTATTGCCCTCGCCTTCTCCTTGTGGGAGTTCAGAGTTCTGTTAGCTGTAGCGCACGCCCATGAGGTTGGCAAAGGTCGCAGAGGTGTCTGATCACCCCACATCTAAGAGTCCAGATGCTGCTTCGGTCTATATCCATCCTCCCCCATGTTCAAACCTGCTCAGTGTAACACAGACCCTGGTGAGGCTCTGTGCAAGGTCTCCAGCACACCCCCAAGCTCAGAGGGGGCTCTGAAAGCTCAACTTGCAGAGGCAGGAGCCTTTAGAACATAGAGAAGGATACACAGGAGCTCTGGAAATAGTCGGCCTATGAGTCGAGCTCCGGAAATGTTTCTAACAGGAGACAGCTAGTCAAGGAAGGGTTAAACCTCCTGCCCCTTCACATTGGGTTGATTGCTAGTGAAAGGCTCCCTTTTGGATTCCAGCTGTGTGCTGAGGCTGGGGCTGCCAGCTGCAGGCTGTGACTTCAGGCCTAGAATGGGCGTTGGGACTGGCATCCTCCAGCTTGTGTGAGCCAAAGGTTTTTCTTGTCACAGAGCCTGGGATGAGGGCAGTAGTCCTGATCCTGGTCCCTGTTCTGCCACTGACTTGCCTTTTGACGGGTTGAGCCATGATATCCTCTGGGCCTCAGTTTCCCCTTTTTGAGCAAATGGAGAGAAAGGCATTTCTGCCTCTGGGAGGCCTGGCTCTCCGATAGGGTGCCAGCAGCCTCAGACCTTCCCTGTCCCTCTCAGGTCACCACCACAGCAAGGAATATGTCAACATCAACCCCCTGAGGAAGCTGCCCAGCCTCAAAGATGGAAATTTTATCTTATCTGAAAGGTAACAGTCTTACTGGGGCCTTTCCTCCATCTGTCACTGCTCCTCCTGGGAGATTAACCTGAAGTTGACCTGCTAGTGCTTATTTATTTCTTTTACTATGGAAAAATTCTCACATACACTGAAGTAGAATGAATACTAACTAATGAGGACTGTAGTGAGCCCCATGTACCCATCACCAAGTCTAACAGTTGTCTGGTTGTCTGCTCAGGGGTCTATTTTGCATTGCCGTTTCCCCACTCCATTTCCCTGCCTCCTAGCCACCCCATCATTTAATAGACAAACGTTTAGGAATGGACTTTTAAGAGATTAGAGCTCTTAAAAAAAAAAACCACACCACCACAATAGCATGATGACACCTAATAAAATTAACCATAATTCCTGGATTTCGTCAAATATCCTGTTCGTATTCACAAATCCCTGATTATCTCATAAATATTTCCTTTGCAGTTCATGTATTTGAATCAGGGTCTAGATAAGCGGCAAGTATTGCAATTGATTGATGTCTCTCTTAAATGTCTTTTAAGCATAGCCCCGCTCTTGCCCCACCTTTTATCTTTGCATTTTTGTTGTGGTTCAAGGAACCAGTTCCCTGGTTCTGTGCAGTTTCCACAGTCTAAATTTTGCTGATTGCATTCTCATGGTGTCATGGAACATGATGTTCTATGCCTTCATTTCCTGTAAGTTGGTAGTTGGACCTTGAGGTTTGGTAAGATTAAGGGTTGACTGGTTTTCAGACTGCTTCACAGGTGGTCTCATCATTTTCAACTCTATCTCCCGAGTGGACCACAGACCAGGACTGGTACTTTTTCCCAGGGCTGCTATAACCACTGACTGGGGGCTTAGAACAACAGAAATGCCTTGTCTCACAGTTCTGGGGGCTACAAGTCTCAAATCCAGGTGTTGGTAGGGCCATGCTCCCCCTGGAGGGACTGGGAAGGATCTGTTCCAGGCCTTTCTCCTAGATTCTGGGGATCTCGGGTGTTCCTTGCCTGGTAGATGGCCATCTTCTCCCTATGTCTCTTCATACTGCCTTCCCTCTGTGTACATCTCTGTGTCCAAATTTCTTCTCTTTTATAAGGGCACCAGTCATATTTGATTAAGAGGCCATGCTAATGACCTCATTTTAACTTTATTACCTCTGTAAAGACCGTTTTTCCAAATACAGTCACATTCTGAAGCACTGGGCATTGGGACTTCAACATATATTTTTGTAGGTACACAATTCAATCCATAAGGGTCTGCCCTCTGGCCCTCCCCACCCCCCCAATTCATGTCCTTCTCATGTGCAAAATATGTTCACCTCATCCTAGCATCTCCAAAAGTCTTAATCATCTCAGCATGAACTTAAATCCGAAACACCATCATCTAAATCATCCAAATCAGGTATGGGTGAGAGTCACAGTATGATTCATCCTGAGGCAAAATTTCCCCTTCTGTGAACCTGTGAAACCAGATGACAAGTTACCCTGTTTCCAAAATACCATGGGGGGACTGGTATGGGATAGACATTCCCATTCCAAACAGAGGAAAAGGAAGGAAAAGAGGTTTTACACATTTCCAGTAAGCCTGAAACCTAGCAGGAAAAGTTGCATTAGTTTTTAAGGGTTGAGAATGATCTTCTTTGGCTGCATGTTCTGTCCTGCGGGTAGTGGCCCCCTCCTCTTGAATCAGGAAGGTCAAGGACCAGTTGTCACCCCACTACCCCACTCAGACCTGTGGTGACAAGACAGCCCTACTGGCCTCTCTACCTCCCTCTGAGTCATTCTTCCCTTTTCTTGAAGGCTAACACACATCGCTGTTGAATAGCTCCATGAGCCCATTTCACAAAAGTCTGACAACCTTCCTTCGTTTTATCCTGTCTCAGTTTCTTTCAGTTCAGAATTCAGTGTTTCTGCTGAAATGGTTGCTTAGATCCATAAACATACACCTAATCTCTTTAGTAAAAGGTTGTCGAGCCTCACCCTTGGTGTTCTCTCCAGAGCAGGGCCCTAACCTCAACGTGCCAGGACACCTCCCCTCTGCTTTTGGCCTTATTATGCCACATTCTCACCTTGGTGGTCCCTTCCCTCCCTGCTCCCAGTCTGAGCCTTAGAATGATGTGTCTTCATGCCTGGTGAATCCACTCACTCCCCATTAGGCCTCCCCCGCAGGCCCCCTCTCAGGCCCCAGTGCCCAAGTGTGTCTATTAGAGCACTTAGTGAAGGTCTAAGGATACCATCTGCAAATGACAGAAACCCAGCTCAACTAGTTTGAGTTTATTGGTGGGCATGACAGGCCAGAGGCATCTGGGCCTGGGTGCTGTGGTGCTGATGCTCTTCCTGACCACATTGCCGGTGGGGCTTCCCTGTGGGTGTGTCAGCCTCCTCCTCTCAGCATTCTCTATACTCACAGCCAACAGCAGCTTTGTAGTCACATCATTGGAGTCGCTGGTTCTCAGGAAAGGAGCAACCCTTCCTTCTCAGGGGATGTGAAGTTCCCAGGGAAGGACAGGGGTGGGCCCAGTCTGAGTCACCTGCTTGCTTGTGGACTACTCATTAACTGGGGCCTTGGGACCCATGACTGCCAGCTACCCCCGCCAGAATCACTTGATTGGAGATCGTGAAGCAGGTCCCTGTGGGAAAAGTGGGGGAAAGAGTGCTGGGGCAGATGGAAGACCAGATGCCCTCTCCAGGGTCATCCCAGGGATTGTGATGCCAGCAGGGGTGCTTGTTGACCAGGAGATGAGGCTCCTCCAGTCAGAGCAAACTCTGGTCCACTCTGGGGGCAGGAATGTTTTAGAATATGCTGGTGTGGATGGGTCTCCTTTGGCCCTGGCATTCCCAGTGTGGGACTGGGAGGGCTAATGTCAGAGAATAAGTGTTGGGGGCCCCAATCTCAAGGTTCAGGACAAAGAAACACAGAAAGTGTGGTGGTGACAAAGAGATACAGAAAGTGTGGTGGTGTGGGTGGTGGGCTCCAGCAGGGGGCACAGGCCTCAGACAAGCTGGGAGGAATCAATCGGGTCTGGGAGCCACTGGCAGGTCTGCTCAAAGCAGTAATAACTCAGAAATGGCCACCAAGGGTGGTGTTCCCAGAGGTCACAGAATGGACCAGGGTATTGGGCCAGTGAGGCAAGCCTGCCTGCCTCTCAAGCCTCCTACAGTGGCTAAAGGCCATCTCATCTGACTTGCTGCCAATTCATTCTACTTCCCTAGCTTTCCCCAGCTCCCCCAATCCCCCCACCCCACCTGACCAAGGTCACCAGTTATGCCAGGCAGTCAAGAAAGGTGACAGGGCACATGCTTGGGGCTGGGCTGCTGGGGTCAAACCCCGATCCTGCCACTCATGGGATGTGTATCTTTGGCCAAGTTAGTTGTATCTCTGAGCCCCAGTTTTCTCAAATGCGGGTAGGGAACATGCCAGCACCCACCTTACAGGGTTAGTGGGATCAGCTGATATGATTCAGGATTTAGGATTGCCCTCATTCTCTGAAACTGCCTTTCTCCTTTTCCACTCCCAGGCTGTTCCTTCTCCTCTTCCTCTCCCTCCACCCATCTCTGTTTTTTCCTATCCGCTGACTCTGCTCAGGGGACCCCAACTGCTCCTCAGACTTTGATGTCATAACAGACTGAGCTCAGGACTCTCTGGGGCCCCAGATGTCCCAGACACCCCAAACACCCATGTCCACCCTGAGTTCCTTCCTTCCCTTCCCCCACCAGCCAACAGCAAGGCTTGGGATATCCCCTCCAAAACATGCCTTCAGCCTGTTTCCTCCTTGTACCCCACTGTGGCCTCTGCCCTGCCCAGAACCCAACACCCACTGCTTGAGCATTGCGGCTGCCTCCATCTTGACCTCCTCTCTTGTTACTTCTGCCCCTGTGGTTCACCCTCCATCCAGCACCAGAGGGATCTTTCTAAAAGTCAAGGTGGATATTCTCATCCCACTGTTTATATTACCCATAACCTTGACAGTTAAGTCCATTTTATTCCTGAATCTCCAAGGACCTCCCTTTGTGGCCTCCCCATCTCTGGCTATCTCTAACCACCCCTTGTCCCCACACTTCTTCTAGTCACACTATCTGACTCCTTTCTCCAAATTTACTACACTTCTTTTGCACCCAGATTTCCACACATGTTGTTCCCTGCCTGGACTGCCCTTCCTGACACCATTCACCAACTCCTACTCACTGTGCAGGGTCTCCCTCCCTGCCCTTGCTGACTGGTGGACTGATCTGACAGCGTTTCCCAGGGCCTTTGGGCTCATATTTTCCCTGGAAGAATGTCAGTGCCTAGAGACCACCTGTAGCTGGGGGCCCCACATTTAGCCAGGCCATAAATGGGGTGGTGGTTGGTGTCTCAAAGTTGGGGAAGGCAAAAGCAGTGCCCTGCCCTGCCCTTTCTGCAGCGTGGCCATCCTCTTGTACTTGTGCCGCAAGTACAGTGCACCCTCACACTGGTACCCACCAGACCTGCATACGCGTGCCCGTGTGGATGAATTCATGGCTTGGCAGCACACAGCCATTCAGCTGCCCATGAGCAAGATACTCTGGATCAAGGTGAGCAGGTCACAGATGGGGCTGACCACTGGTGAGCTCACGTAAGTATCCCTCCCTCCCTGAGCTTCATTTCCACAGCTCCCTCTCCTGTCGGCAGTGTGGAGTGAACCACTAGTTATGAAAGGAGCCTTATAAAGGCAAGGGGAAGGGTACCCAGGAGGGGCTGATCTCACTCAAACTAGGATAGGATTCAAGAAATTTCATTCTGAACTAGAAAATATCAGTTGAGGGCCGGCCGAGTGGCGCGATGGTTAAGAACTGGCTTGGGACGCCAGAGGGCCCCCGTTCGGATCCCACATATGAGGGCAAGTGACACTGCCCTCCATAGCTAAGAGGCTGAACAACAGCTCAACCTGGAGCTGGGCTGCCGTGAGTCGCCGGTGATGGTGTAGGCTGCAG